CCCTTGATACTCCTTAATGGTCTCCACCACTTTCACATCGCATTGTGGAATCTTCTTCACGAAGAGAAGTCTTAGTTACTCTAGCTGCTAGGGAAGGTGGAGTGCGATGTGGGTGTTGACCAGAAGGAATTTCACTATGGTCGATTTTCCTTGTTTAGGGCACGCTAATATGCCCTTTTTCATCGGTTTTACTCTTTTATAATTATTGATAGGACTAAGATGCCCGGTCCGTCCGCCTCCGCCCACTTCCGCAAGCCAGTTGGATTCTGAAGTGCCTTCTTCGCCACCCGATAGAATGTTGGAGTATACGCTTCCGCGGATAAAAGGTTTTTTTGAAACCTTTATGATGGGTCCTGCTCCCACATGTCCAACTTATTCTGTTGATTTCGGGGGCAACTGTTCTGCCTCATTGAAGAATTCACCTTATCTGGGAGGAACTTAATCTCATTTTGCCAAACGTCCTATAATCTTCCACATTTGGGCCGGCGCTGATGCTCGGACCGGATATCGCTGAAATGGGATGGTACTGCCCTGTCGTTTGTTGCCGCCGCAATAGATATCAGACCATCGATTTCAAATGGAATGGGATTTTCATAATATGATGCATCCCGGTGCATGAACTGGTTTTCCCTGCCTCACTCTACTACTCAATAGAACTACCGGTAGTTCCGACGGAAGGTCTCGTCGGTGCCATTCCGATCCCCGTGTACCTCATTAACGACCTATTAATGTCGAGATTTTATGACACAACAAACCAGATTACTATACGCGCTCACTCAGTAGCGGCGGCATCTGCGTGCAATTTTTTGTGTCATCGCTGTTGGCGATCGCCGCCGCTACCATCGGTCGGCGTGATTTTCCGCTTTCCAGGGTTTGATTGCATCTCTAGCGTCAATTTGTCCCCCCTCCACGACTCTTCACCACCGCATTCCATCACTATGACCACTATCGAGTCCTGAATTTGTCCACAGTACTGTCCACCATCCGATGGCCACTTGGCATCGCCTTGAACGCCTTCACACTCAGGGAGAACGATCAGTTATTCCTTGCCGTAAATCAGTCCGTTTCCGCTATTTTGACTTCGACGAGGCGGCTACCGTACTCGAATCCGCTCTGATGTCAGGACCATCACCACCTCGTGAACATTCTCCCCTACCGCCAGGCTTCTGGGGCAATCTAACCGATGTGCCACCAGTTCGTGGAAGCCCTCCGGCCTTGCCGGTGATTGCCAAGCCGCAAAGACCCCGGATGGGGACAGCTGACTATCACCGGCGTTCCAGTTCGGGATCTGTTGGGAGGAAATCGTCACTTGATCAGGTAAATTGCGTGTCATACATGGATTTATTTTGGTTCTTTGCCTTTTTTACTGACTGATTTCAAAGAGGTTCAACTGCGGTCGTAAAAGTCCTCGCCAAGCTAACTATTATATCTTACCTTAGGGAGCCGTTTTCCAACAAGATAGCTGGATTAAGCATTAACAACTAGAGCCAAAACTGTCAATCCTCAATTGCCTTGTACAGCTACGATAAGGCAGTTAACTTTCGGCCTTTCTTGACTTAAGCTGTAAGGTTCCACTTTTCCTTGACCATTTTTGGAGAATCTTGGTTGAACAGAGGGAGAGTAGCGCAGTGGAAGTCGGCGGCGATTCGCATGCTGAAAGACTTATGGGTTTGGTTTTTCCTCTGAAGCAAGTATGTAATCTGTACTCCAGGGATCAGTAGATTTGGGAGCACTCTGAAGCGATATAAAAAGGGAATTGACTAAAATTTGGCCCTCGTCGATCTGAGCAAAGGGATGCCAGATATTTAGATGTCCTCCCTAGCCATATTACAGCTTTTTTCAATACTTATGTCTAGTTCGGAGCAAGTTTAACAGCTCGAGCTTAGGTGGCGTCACGCAGATGTGGGCCGCGCGCGGGCGCACAGCGGCCTAGCAAAGGTGTGCAATCGTGCTCATTTCGTAGTTGTTCACATGCACATCTTATCATATCCTCTTTAAGCTCAGTAAGCATGCCACTTGCCACTACATCACCTCCGCCTTCCTCCTGTAAGAGTATAAATCAGCTGCCAATTTTGATACCATCTCTTGGCTTTCTGTGGCTTCCTTATGTTCAGGAAGAAAAGGAGGTCTGCCAGAAAACTAATTTTCATGTACAGTACTATTTTCCCAAATATCGTTACATATTTTTTGTTTCTAGCTATGATAAGCTGATAAGGTAAAGCGGTCATGATAGCGTATTGGATAGCGCACTTGCAAGATAAGCATGAGGTGCGGCTCAAGTCCCACTTTAGGTCAAGATTCCTGCCTATAACTCAGTATTCTTGTGCAGTACTATTCACGTGTGAACGTAGAGTCCATTCCACTGCGGAACAATTTCGTACAAGGCTTGCCCATCTCCTTTGTTAAAGCGAAACGCGTTCGCAGTGACCATGAAGATGCTACGAGGTTAACGGGAAGATAGTGCGGGTCCGGACGTGGAACACCCTGTGCCAGCTTTGACGGCGCCGAACTGTTGAAGGGGCAAAACGAATTAAGCGCAAAGTTGCTTCAGTGGTACATCCCTTTTTCCAGTGACTCCGCCTCCAGACTCCGCCTCCAAAGTGGGCCCTCCAGCCAAAAGTAATGCTCTCGGGCAAGTATTCAAAGATGTGCGATGCATCGACGAGTGTTTCTTGCGGAGTCAGTAACGGTTCATTACCTTGGGAATCAGCCGACTGAATTGTGTCCACGCGCGCAGTCCTTTCGGTCTGTTTACTCTACAATGGTTTGTGAAGGCTAGCGAGGAGGCCTGCACGACCCATCGCCGTTTCTAACGTTCCCTTTGACATGTTTTCTCTTCCCATGAACGGCTTCACTTAGCGTACTTTTCTTCCACCTTTCTGCCAAACATTTTCGACCTAGGCTTTTGTAATTCGCGGAGCGGTGGGCCTTTGTAGTGAGCTCCCTGCCAATTGCAGTTGAACGCTTCTGAGTGGGATCACCTTATCTGACGATTTTTTGACGCGCCAGCGCCTTTTGTGGAAGGCATGTATGAGGAGGATTGTGCCACTATAATTAGCGGAGTGCTGCTTATTCAGCTGCAGGTGTTCGCTCGATCGTCTAGTGTGTGTGGTTTGGGATCCTGTACGGATTTTTTCCCTTCATCGTCAGCTGGGCTATTTTCTGATGACACTGTTTTCGCTATGGTCAATAGTTCCGTAGCCCAACAGAGCACACGGTTTAATGCTGAATCACGTCTGGCAAAGAATACAACAAGCACATAATAATTATCGATAACCAATTACATTTAAACGCCATGCAATTTGCGGTCCAATCGCAAAATTTTCAGTACGGTTCTTAATAGTCTTCATAGTTGCGAAAAGGCGCACACATGCAATAAACTGCAGCAGGGACAGCTTGTCTGGACCACAGTTGCTGTGAACAAAGAAGTTGCCCACTGATTTCTTTCCCTGGTGTTTAGTAGAGGATAACGGGCGCCGTTCGTGCCTTGGAGGGGGCATTTGCAATTTCGCTAGTTCGTTTTGTTATACAGGTCTCCCTTTGTTGACACCTGTAATGTGGTGTAAGGCTGCGATATGGTGAGACCACTCAGGTCACAGGAATTTACAAGTGCTTTCGCGACGGGTCGGTCGCTCACCAAGCTTTTAGCTGAGCGTCGTTCGCCTTCCCCCCACCCCCCAACCCTAAACCTCACTTGAGTGCGCATAACAGCTTTACGTCGTTGGATCATCCCTTCTTAAGGGGCGTGGACACGTCACTGTCACTCTCCATCCAGAACGCGTCAGCGCTCCTTCAACACGGATCTGCGATACGTGCGGGCCGATATCTGCGAGATGCAGCCGATGTAGTAAATTAGTGTTATTTATCCTCCTGAACGAATCTGATGGAACAATCTACCCACCACGGCAGCACGTTGGACGATGGTCGACCGCAGGCCGATTCGGAGTTTGCCCCCTTGTCTCGTCGCCACTGAGACCACCCTCGCTCCAATCTCTAATTTACCATACTTTGTGCCTTTATTCATTCTTAAGAACCATTACCTTCTCACTTACTTACACCTTACTTACTTACTTAACTGTGAAACTTCAAATCCGAAGATAAATTACTGATCGTTCAAGCGACAACTATAAAACTATTTCAGCAATCACGGCATAAAAATTATTCTCTAATTCTCGCCATAGAAATTCATCGTTTGCCGAGGATTAATTCTTTTATCCGTATTTGGAAGGTTTTTATGTTCATCTTCGTTCAGTCCCCAGTTCTTGTCGGCTCTACAGGCAATTACAACTACAATTACACAATTATTAATTACAAGAGGCAGCCCTCACTATATCCTCTGATTCTCTCAGCCGTCATTACGGACCTTATGCACGAGTTGGCATCAAATTATAAGCTGAAAGGACTACAGTACATATCAGAGGGCTAAAAGGTGTTACCAAATACGTCAAGCGACGGCTGCGTGTTCCCTTGGTGATTCTTCTCTCTTATAGGCACGTTTCTGCCGCTCTTTCGTCTGGACCTTCTGAGCCGGACACAGCGCTCACATTTACGCACTTGGAAACCCCTCCCGTTGGCCCTCAGATAAGATCTATTTGGGCTGAGCTTTCCTTGGCTCTACTGGTTGCACAAGGAAAGCATGCACAGAATCTACGAGTGTAATAGAAAACTCGCTCACCTGTGCCCTCGATGAAGTTCTATACGGAGCCTCAGTTTCTTTTTATGCCACCTTTGTTTCACTGGAGTGCTCTTGACCCGACCCTGTAAGGGCACATGTGACCACAATTCGTGGATTTATCGGCTCTACGCAGACAATACAATACGAAAATGTCATCCTGATCGCGTCGCGATGAGTCAGTCAGTCATGGCGACGGCTATTTTGCCGTGTCGGCACTCCGCCGTCATCCCAATTCGCACAACTACCGTTGACGACAGACGCCGTACTTCCGACGTCTCGACATCGCTGATGTCATTCTGTTTGATCTCCGTTGGAACACTTCTACATGGCGTATCGTAGACGTTATCACATCGTCAGATTCACTGACGAAAATGGGGTTTGTGCTGAATATTTGACCTTTTCTGGGGTTCTCATCGATTTCGGATGGGGTTCCATCCGAGAATTCTTTTTTTTGTTCTGACAGATGCTGTTTTTGGGACCATTCAGCTTTGAAAACGTCTGTAAAAGTTATTTTCGTCACATATGCTCTGAGCAAAGATCGAAGGCTTAGTCAACTCAAGCCAAGGGCGCAAAACTCGCCGAGAGCGAGCAATCCCGCTTTTACCTTCAAAACTTCTAACCATAAGATTTATTCCTGGAAAGCAATGTTCTGCCTTAATGGTAGACTTTCCTCAAAATTCCTCCGACTGCTGGCCACCCTCAGAGGGTGTCAGAACGACCCCCTTCGAAGGAGGGTCTCTGTGCGACTCCTCCCCCCCACTCCTTCCCCATCACCCACCTACCAATTCCCCACTTTTTCTAGTTTTTCTCCTAAAGATATTTCCCGTCGAGCGAAGGGGGAAGGGGGTGGGGAGGGGTACATAATGCACATGAAAAATGGAAAACCACGGATAGTGTGCAACCAGGAAAAAATTTCTTTTCCAGCGTGGAAAATTTTTCTCGAAGCCACATACGACCCACCCTCCTCTCCCAGCAATGACCAAACACGATCCCCTGCACAGCGACCGAGTACGACCCCCCCCCATGTGTTTCACACAACGATGCTGTATGTACCCTGCCTCAAAATCATCTCACTATAGCCCATCTGGCTTCTTTCAAGTTTTCACTTACTGTAGCTAACAGTTACTGTAGCTTCTCAATAATAACTTCGAAACTACCGTATATGATATCATTTTTATTATTATGTTCTACCGTCTCACTAATTTTGCCGAATGCCGCTCGGGAGACCCGCATCCCGGCTATGCGCGGCAACTAGCTAATGTTTTCCACTCGGATGACATATATACTGTAGCATTTCCGCGTTGTAGTAATTAGATCTCAATTCACAAACCGCGCATATGGCGTCATTTGAAACGCCTATTTCGCAGTCAACATGGACTTCCTAACCGGCTCCCAATTTTGTCGACCCAAGAAGGGTTGATTTTTGGTGCTAGGTTCCAAGAAAGATGTTCACGTAATGATATTTTTCTTACCCTTTTCAATAATTACTCGGAAATCTGTTTAATTGAAGTCCACGTCGCTAAATATTCCTGCTACTGAAATTTAGGACTTTTCTGCCACTTCATGTGTTCCTAAGTGTTGATTGAAAGTTTTCCTTTTTTTCCTGCCAGCTTGCGATTGAAAGTTTTCTTTTTTTTCTGCCAGCTTGCCAATGACCAAGTTTGTAGTTGTGATCCAAGGTGTGCACTACATGAACAGTGAATGAAAACCATAACTCTATTTTTGAATAAATTCTGTGAATTCGGCAATTTTTCGACCAGGAGCTTTTAAAGCTGGAGTCCAAGCTGCTCGTAGGGGAGGGGTGAAAGCTACGCTGCACCTTCCTCGATGTTCCCCTCCTTCTCCTTTCCTTCGATAATGAAAAGCAGTGCACCAAATAGGAGGTCACGACGCCGGGCCTGACTCCACCCACATAATCACTGTTGACTTTGTCTTAGATATTGTTGCAGAGATTTTGTGAATGATTTTTATATGTGCGTATTTCAGGAGACAAAGGAAGAAATACTCACAATTCATTCACCGTCCTCTCATCAGGAGGATCTGAACGACTCAGGTATCGAAAATCGTACAACCGATTCGCACTCCCCATCTACATCGTTGGATTTCTCGCCAAGAAGTTTGTCATTGTTTATTAGTTTAAAACGCTTACTAGGGCCTAGCAGTACTGCCTGTGTGTGCTGATAGTCGACGGTAAATGTACCAGCAGAGGTGAATAGGGCATGCTGGGGATCCCGGGGGTTGGGCGATTTGGTCTCCGGAAGCAGGGGTCGTACTTGCTTTTGAGAGAGATGTTTTGGTTGCTGGCTTCCCCTGATTTTTCCAGTTTCAACCCCCTCATACCCCCTCTCCTTGGGAAAATAATTATATGGGTGTCAGTTGTATGGCTTTATTATATGGGTGTTCCCTCATCTTTCGAATCTGTCCTTATTGTTACTAAATACCCTTGAGAGTAGTTGGGAAGGAAAATGATTGGTATGGTTATTGAAATCCATGAGAAAAATCTGGGGAACTATATGGTGACTAGCAAGTTTGAAAGCCTATTATTCCCGAATTTTCCCGGTTCAGAAGCTTTTCTCCGATATTTCTCAGTGTTGTCTCCAATCACTCTGCCTTCTAGCCCAAAAAAGAACTTGCCCCTCCGCAGCGCCAAATTAGATTTCCTTTGGTTTCTATGCGCTTCAGAAAGGCGCTTTCAGAAAAGCTGTCGTTATTCATCCAGTCTATAATCCGATAAAAGCTTTTTTTGCCTCCTATGAATCCCCGCCGTTCAAGTCATGCTTTCAGGTGACTCCAAGCTTACGTCTGATCCGATCTCACCAAAACCCACCACTTACACAACGGAGGCCTCAGTGCATCGTGCTGAACAACCGCCTGACTACGCTCCACCACCACCACCGCCAACAGCACCGTCGGAATCGCTCGATCAGGTACGTGTGAATCCAACTTCGAGACTTGAGAACCTTACGGAAGCATCCCGAAAATTTTGTGCACTTAAAGACGCATTCAGCAAAGTGCCCATATTCTTCACAGCTTGGTGGCCTGGGTCCGAAACTGCCAAGAAAATGTCTTTTTCCTCGTGGCTTGAAGTGGGCTGCAAGCTTATCGTCCAGGCAGATCAGGCCTCGGCCGGCTCACGGTGACCTCATTGCCGTTGGGCCTTCTAGCCCTTCGTTTTCTAGTCCCTATCCCACGGACTTCGGCGTATAGTCGCCTCTGAATGTGCCGACGAGGAGTTGGGCATTAGTGTGTGAAGAACATGTCGCGGCGGCGTGCATGAACTGGTAAAGTGTTTCCTAACCAGCTTCTCCTTCATACTGTAGGGCTAGCGCGTCAAATCAATTAGCTCTTGGTGCGAATGCCACGTGCGTGATATCATTTGTAACATATGTTTCGCCACGTCACCGCAGCGTGAATCATCTGCACCCAAAGACTTACTTAGCCTGGGATTCCTTTTTCAACAGTTTCGTTCTGAAAATTCCCGCGCTAGGGACGCTTTGCAGATAGAAAAAAAAACTCGGACTTCTCCTTCAGTATCGAATGTTGTGATTCAACGTGGAAAAAAACAGCAGCTCTCAAAAAAATCCCCATAAATTTGCTATCCCAAGAAGGCGAACTTAAAGGCAGTTGGCACGATGGTTTCCTACTCGGCCTAAAATGCTAGTAGGGGCTATATAGTGGGGAAATGGCGAAAGAACGGAGTGAAACGGTCAAAATCCTGCGAAGAAAGAGCCTCCGTTCTCAATGTGTTAAAAATCAATTTTGGACGAGTAGGCATCTTGCCAATAACCGCTACCGAAGGTATGGCTGCATATGTGTACCCATATATCCATGCAGCATCACGGCCGCTTCATACCAATCCCTTCGCTTCATAAATTTTTTTGTTTTTGCTTAGGCAAAGTGTTCAATTCAAAGCGTCAGGACGGGTCGTCGCATTTGTGGGCACACGGCGGGCGTGGCGGGCGTGGGTCGGATGTTGTGGCTTCTTGTGCTTCTATTCCGCTCATAAGGGCACCTTCCCGGAAAAGGCCAGCTATGCAACGCTCTGCTCAGAATCTCGAAATCCTGTCCTGCCAGGCGTGTTAATTTTACTCGTCTTGGGGGAATTTATCGTGCCAACTGCCTCTAAGGAACTCCCGGAGAAATGGCAAATATTAGTGGGAATTTGTGGAAAAATCTATTATCAGTCTAAGAAGGTAGTGCCCTGATTCAGGTAGTGATTCCTCTAAGCGTCTCACGATCAGTCACGGCGATCCCGTCGAAGCCAGACGACGACGAGTATCCGCCTCCACCACTCCATCTTCGAAGGCATCAGTTCGGTGGTGATCGAAGTGTCCAGGTGAGCTATTTCAATCTGTTACTCTCTGAAGTGATTCCAACCCTCCTCTGTGACGAGAGGCAACCAGAGGAGGGATGAGGGGTACAAGAAGGATTTAACGCTGAGGGAGATAGGGTGATTACAGGCAACCAAGCAGTCCTGGCCAAATGAAACACCAGCCGGGAAGGCAGCTCAAAGTTGCCTCCAATGGGGTACTTGTCCATACCTTTCAAAAGGTCCAGTTCTGGAGGTGGTCCACAAGCATGGCGCATTTCAGTGGTGGTGCCGCTGTATCACGGTCCCCTTACGCTTTCTGGAATTTTCTCCCTGAGAAGCTTTCTAGTAGTCAGGCAAGGAAAACGACACGGTTGTGCGCACTGTCCATGCTAATCGTTCGGAAGGAGACTATCATTCATTGGTGCGCCCCTCCCCTTTACCGTCTCAGAGATGGGCCACCTCTAATGGAGAAGATTTGCTGTCTAACTCCGCCTATGTGAACAAAATGAACTATTTTCCCAATAAAAAGTGCATGTAAAGGAATTTAAGGTTACAGTAACAAAGATGAAGAGCTTACCTGGAAAAGGTAAAGCTGGTGAGGTTCCCGGTAGTGATCCGCCTTTTGGCGACGTATTTAGCTTCAATGCAAATTCGCGAATGCATTTGAATAGACATATTGGGTCCATATAAAGGCTTACGGGAACTTGAACAAGATTCGTAACGGCTGAATGAGCCCGCAGTGTTGAATGGCATGGTTGACAAGGGCGGGACCATGCAGCGCAACCATCATATGCTAGCAGATTATTTTGCCAGCCAAAATGACTGATATATTTTAACCCTCGCCCAACCTGAATATTCTATTATTTCAATTTCTATACAATCTTGGGTCTAGTGAAGGTCAACATGCAAAAAACACGGGTCCGTCATCCTCGAAGAACAATTCTCTGGGAGAGCAAAATTGTTGGTGAAATCTTTCAAAAACCTTTTTGACAGCTTAATTTAGGAAATTTGCTTGATTTTGAGGTAATACATTTGCAGGATATATCTTCCCGATTTGAAACAGTGAGCGCCAATATTAAAAGTCCAGGATACCGATTTGAGGAACGGGTGAGTCCCACTTATTGCCCTATAGTTTTTTTATGTTTTTTCTTATATTTTTACATTCTGCTTTTCAATCAGCGTATAAGGGTATCTCCCCTTTTCCAACTGAGACCACTATTCTTTTTCATTTATCCTCTTGATATGATAGATGTGTCTGTATAATTTTTTTAGCTTCATTGGAAAAACGCGATTCCTGTTCTTTGGCATGTCTACAGAATTAATAAATAAATAAAAGTAAATATAATAGCAAATAAACTGTAGGATCGCCTTGGACTCACAATTCGAAAAAGAAAGGATCAGGCTTCGGGCAGTGAGCTCGCGTAGCAGCTGTATTAATCTTACTATGGATTAGCCATGGATCATTCTTTTGCGTTTCTGCATCACACGGCTACAGCCTGAGGGCAGATATTGTACATGAAACTGGACTACAGGACTGGTCCCTTTGACTACAGCGCTGCTAGCTTCCTGCCTTTCCTGTCCCCTGGTGACAAGGGTAAGCATCAACAGACCCTGGGTAGTTCGTCGTCAGCTGGATATGCCAAGCGTGGCGCTTCTTTCACCGTACTACATTGCCGTTCAAGTCAGTTGTTCTTCGAGTCTCTATCTCCTTTGTAAGATGGTCTTTAGGTTTTTCAAAACCTCAGTTATGATCTATTAATAGTCTATAATTAATATCTGCCTCACCAAGGCAGCGGAATCATGCGCATTAGGATCAATAAAGGAGGAGATCAAACCCTTTAATCTGAGAGCTGGTGAACCATTTTGAAAATGACGTCACTATTCAGTTTTAGCCCCTGAAAATTAGTGAAATGTTCATGTAATGGCGTAATTACGGCTATAGGGCGAATGCACCACCATTTCCCCTCGAATATGTAGTTCAGACAAAATATGACAGCCGGATAATGGGTTTCGGAACTAGCGAACATGAAATCGGCTCTATTTCCAGCGGCTGCTTTTTAGAGAGAGGAAACCCAGAAAAAACTAGTTCAAGAGTTTGTAGCTAGTTTTGTAAGCGCTTTGGACACCAGCGCTCCTAGTCGTCTTCGGGGCGGAACCCAAAAAAAAGTAAAGTAGCTTCTAATGGTATTTTATCGTTGATAGCGGTAGCTGCTGGACTTCAAGGAAGTGTGCGAATGACGTTAAGGGTTCCTGTATGGGGCTTATTCGCAAATTCGTCAGCTTTTAGATATTTTCTGAATCCACAATGAATTCAAAGTGCATCTGAGCTGTTTCGTTTCTGTCCTGCAGTGATCAGAATTCCACCGTTTTATTCTGTTAAACTTGGTTGAAACACATCTTCCATCAAGATCCATAACAAATCACAGCGCGACCCCCTGTACGCTGATCTGGCGCGCCTGGGGCGCTGTTTATCGACGGGGGGGGGGCATTTGTATTATAATGCTCGGTTCCGTTTACAAATCTCGCTGCTGGTTTTTAAAACCTTCGCTGAACGCCTCGTAGAAGCTGGAGCAAGATCGTCTAGCCACCATCCTAAAACGTGTCAACTCGAAAAAAGGGTACCTAGATGGGTTGGCAAATCTATGAAAAGCAGAATGCCCCCCGTCGATAAACAGCGCCCTGCGCGCTGTCATGTAGGGTTACAATGGGGAGAGGTGATCGATGTACCCTAAGAAAAACAAAAGCATGGGATAACCCATCAAAAGTGTTCAACTCTGATCTTTCAACTTGTTTTGCTGTGAAGTTCCTAAGGGAGATTAGCGGGTGGGTCACAAGGTCTGGTGATTCGGGTTTTATCGAAACCTGTTTTCTATCTCACATTTTCGAGAAATACGGATTTACAGACGTTGCTACACTTGAATTGTGCCAACATAGCTCAGAGGGCAGCTTCTAGTGTAGCTCTTAGCGTTTTTTCAGTGTCAGATTTATGCTACCTGAAACTTCCCCTTTTCCCGTCACACTGACCAAAATGTCCAACAGTTTGTTCCGGGTGGCTCTCACAGGATTTAAGATGTGCACGTAACCCGGAAAAGGACCCGAGCGATAATCTGCTTGTCTGGTGGCTGACCAGGTCAATCAGATTTGTTGAAAAAGTTGCCTTCTGAAGGGCGCCGATGGATTATTCGAACATGAAAATAGGACCATGGTCACAAATCTTGTTGGTGGACCTTTTCAAGGAACTTAGTCAGAAGCAAGTTTGTGACAGCAGCGGTTTTCCTTTTCGCCGCACTGGGATGATCTGTCATCGCTCCAATTCAATACCGGACGGCAGACTATATTTTAATCCCCTTTTCCATTTGACGAATACCTACATATTACACAAAGTCGATCGGACATTTTTGCAGATCGCAGTGCTACCAGTCTAAAGGTTTTGCGAAAGGAGGTAGGGGTGTTTTCGCCAAAATCGGAGTCAGCGGATAAATCTGCCTCCTCCAGGCCTCATAGTTTCATACTAACTTGTAAAGGAATTCAATAGTGTAGTCAAGTGCTCTCTCAGATTCCTTTTGCTGCCCCGCACATTTGACTTCATCTTTAAATTTGTAACATGAAATTTGAACAAGTAAATTTCGTACAAACAAGAACAACTAAATTAACTCAAAAGAACATTTACTAACCTTTACTAAGTTCATATAATAGTAAATTATCACAATAAACACCTTGTTCCTCCTTTTCCCTTACTGATGAGCACAGAAGGAGGATAACAAACTGCTTGGTTTCCGTCTAAGGGCACGTGCGAAACGGAAACTAAGCTACTTCTTTGAGTCACCCCCTCTAAACTTAGATAAGAAAAGTGTAGTAAGGAATCTAACAATCAAAATACTATGTAAAATTTTACTAAAATCTTATTATTTAAACTAAAGAGGCATTTGGTTGCACATATCTTGCTTCTAGAGTAACCTGCGGCTCTATCCGATGAGTAACTTTGTTGTGAGTTTACGCCCTTCCAGACACTCCCGACTTTTTCGCCCTCCAAGATCTTCCAGCACATCCATGTTAACTACACCAATTCTACTGTACTTCTAGCACCAATAAGCTCTCAGGCTAGATATAATACTCCCTTTAGAGACTTGATCAATTGGTCATTACCATGACCATAATCGAGCTTTTTGCCTCTGCTCTATCTACAACCTCAATTTCTGCGAAACCGTAGATGCGTGCCGAACGGAGGCACTAGGTTTTTGGACGATCTATAATCCAGGTCAACGCTGTGTCTATTGTCAGCTCGACCAAGCCCTCCAAACAGGTGTTCAGTTTCCGGGAGTGTTAAGTAGTACTGGAAATGTGTGGGAAGGCGGAAACTAAGATTTCCCGAAAGGGCAGAGACTCAGTTGGCCCATGTGACAATTTTTTGGCTCACAGACGATTTCCCTTATCCGAAACCAAGGAATGCTTAACGACTACGTAAACTATACTTTGTATCCAGAAGATAGACGGGTTCGTACTTGCGTACTTAGTGGCGCTTGGCAATGACCTTGGAAAAACTGGTAATTCCTGCCAACGAAAAGATTAGCTTGTCTGCATTTTAGACCTAATGACACCTAACTAATGAAACTGAAACCTGAAGAGGTCGAAGAAGACCAGGAAGGAGCATAAATTCTGAGTCCGTAATAGTGACCCCTCTCGGCGAAGTAGAAAGGGTAAATGCAGCCTACCGTCAGATCCCAGCGCTGATCAAGCTTCCTTATCGCTATCCTTCTCTTTTCCGCCAAACAAGAAACCGTGGGTAGGAGAGTATCCCAACAACAGCAAAGCAGTTTACCATCTCCGCCCACATGATCAGTGTGGACTATGCTTTTGGCTTGGCTTAATTACACAGGTGTGCTGATTGAATGGGCTGCGGGACCTGGAAAGTTCCTCCTGGGTTTTTACCGGCTCATTTTCCTTTCATTAAAATCTTTTCAAATACTCTTTCTCTCTCGCCCTGTAAGTAGGGGCATTCTGGGACTAAGATATAGTTATGTTAATCAATACCCTTCTGTATCCGCTCTAGTCGTCGATTCGGTTACAAGTACTGTACTTGTATTCCTCGGTATGTCTTTCTGTGAACAAGTGCAGCGCGCAGTCGTACAGTGCCGCCGGTGAGAAAGCGCGTGGCAAGAGTGCTCCTTCTGTGGAGAAATGACATTTCCCAAAGGTTTCCCAAACAGAAGCAGCCTTCTGACAGGAAATGTCATGAACTATGACGTCTTGCTTTCCATAACTGGGTTCCATATAGACGTGTCTCTCACTTATCGGTCGCCGGCGATCTTCACCCAGTGGTTTTGATTTCGCCTTCTTTGTGAATCTCCTCGACTTGCTCCCGGAATTCTAGTCGTCTTCCGCTTAGCGGACCAACTTCATATCTGTCTGGGTCATCTAGCGCGAACTACGATTTACAACAAATACTGGTGATTTCCACAGTTGTTCTACTTCTGTAGAAATCCATTCGCCAACGTTTTCGACCTTGTCGACGATATGGGCGTGAATGGTTCCAAAATGGTGGGGTCTTTATAATACTGCCCATTTCCTTTCGTTTCCTGATAACCATCTTTACCTTTATTTCTCCAGATAAATCGAAAACTTTCAGAATTTCTAATTTTATAAAAATTATTGCATAATTTTCTGACCGGTGTAGAGCAGGTCGGTGGACCAGTCAAGAGAGCATTCAACATTATTTTATGTTTTTTTTCGAATGTTTTCTCCACTTTTTTTACCGTACATCACTGAGTTAGACTATTTCAGACGACTACAAAGCCATACGTGGAATACAAGGATACTCGTGGGTTTTTTATTTCTATTTCTGGTGCAATAAAATAGACCATTTTGCCTTGGACTAGCTAGTTTACGATCCATCCGACTGAGCAACTACATTGCTGAGGTGCCTTTCCCGATTTCCCAATAGGATTCTGGCAGGCGCGGTTTCTCGTCGAAGTCTACATGGGAAGAGGTCTACCTGAGAAGTTAATCCGCTGGTGCCTAGGCTGATTTAGCTCAACAAAGCAATCTTTCTTATCCGGGAACGCGGGAACCTCTCATTACTCGCACTGTTCAGAAAAACTAAAAGAAGGAGTAACTGACCCTTGGTATTTCGGTACCCCTCCAGAGACGGGTAAGACCATAGTGATCCAATCCTTAGAACAAAGGCCAGATACTTCCAAGATCCGGCTTCCGATCAACGAGAGAAGAGTTTGCATCTGTACATAAGCTGAAAATCTCAAATGATTACCAACTTCAAAGAATTCCTGCCAGTGTTCGCGACAGACTTAATTTGAAGTTGTTCAGATAACGTCGATCTGACCGTCGAGCTCAACAGAGAGCAGAGAGGACAGGTAAGACGACTTTTCTATTCTGCTCATTTTGACGTCTTTTTGTTGATGTCGCAACGAGGGCACTGTTCGGTTTGGAGAGGACTTTTTGCGCATTGCTAGTTACTTCTGTTGGTTCATGTTGATTAACTGGTGTCAAGCAGACCTATAAATTCCTGCGAAATGGTTCGAGTGAGCCATTTCGGTCACGGGAAGTTGCAGGTCTACACAAGATGGCCTGTACAAGCTGCGCCTCCGCCATGCCGAGCTGCGCCTCTGACGAGTTTTAATCTGGCAGCCTCTCAGAACTTTATTTTACCTTGACCGAGGAACCGCAGTATGAAATCTGTTTGATGAAACTAAGTCTTCGTCACTAATGCTTCCCACTTCTATTCGACCGCAACCCTGGTTGAAGACAAACTTCGTACTTAACTCCCAGCATCATCGTCCTTCCTTTGTGCGTGGATTGCTCCGCAGGAGCTGCAGCGCCACTTTACTTGGCTTAAAAGTGGCAACAGGACAAAGAGGCTAGTGATACTTAACTGCCGTCTCCTGGCTCCGCCCCGCCGAACCAGCGGGCGCAACACGCTTCACGACGAGACCCACGAGTAATTGTAGTCAACCGGGTGTGTGGTGATTCTATCGTCGGGTCGTCGCGCCGGTGGGCGGAGCGAGGCGGCGTGGCGGCCGCCGCGTACGAGTTTTGTTGCGTGGCGTTCAAATTGTTAAAGGGTCGACGATCCCTTTAACAATTTGAAAGAGGCACAGCTTGCTGTGGCCGTTGCTCCAATGACAACTCGGGAGTACGGTAATGCAACTCCGGGATTGCCGCGTCGCGGCGTGCCGCGCAGCGACGCGGCGCGGCGTGTGCCGAGATTTAAGTATCAACGCACGTGCTGCACCTTTACGATAGAGCGAATGGAGTCGAAAGATGACATCCGACTATCACAGTGCCCGGAGCGAAAAAAGTGGCACCCTGCTGCAGCTACGGACCCATCCACCTCACACATGTCAAGGACCAGGAATCCTTGGTGGTGAGCATACAGCAGAAGGGTAGACTGAAGGAACAACCCAGTTTTCCATACCAATATGTTGCCATGGCACGCTCATTGTCAGCTACATTTTGTTGTGACAGCCATGCGACTCCATCCATGGGAAGGCCCCATTCACGTGGAAGTGCTCAAATATTTTTCTTGTCAGAAATGCAATGTTAACAGTACGAGGTTTTTGCCCATAACTCGTATTGTTGCCATGTCAACAATGTTACGTAAATGTCAGGTAACAGCGATTCGCTACCCGACCACAAAGAGAATCGAGACCGTCCCATCTCCAGTGGACGATAGTCGGGTGAGTTTCACATTTCACTTAGTTCTGGGTCCCCACCCCATCATCATCTTCATCCTTTTGATTTCCCATCAGCAAATTACCCAGGATTTTTTCCAGGGCGCTACTTTTGTCTCGCATATTAGCCACCACGTTCAACCCCCACCGTCGACTACTACAGCGGTGACATCAAGGGCAACACCCATCAGTACTCAACCATCGACAAGCCCAGAACCACGACATCGAGTCATGCCTCCTACCACCGTATATCGCACCGTAGATATACCGTTTGATGAATCCCCAGCTGCATATCAGCCAAAGAAGGTAATCATTCCACGTCTGTACAGTATACCACCAACTCTTGTTATTCTTTACTTCTTGATTTATTAGTTTGCCGTCTTTAGGACGAAAATGTCCGTACAGTAATGGTGACGATGGGCACTCATCCGGTGCAGAAAGGCCTAGGATTTACGATCACGATTGAACGTGGACGTCCGACTATCGATAGCGTCATAGTGAGCTCACCAGCCGATCGAGCAGGACTTTTGGTGGGTACTGCTGCTAGCAGTTTCTTTTATAAAATACAACCCTTCTGAATTTTCCCCAGGGAGGATTTCTTACTTACCGAGCGCGCGTGGAACAGGAAAAATTGACTATCAGAAGAAGTTTTTTTGGTGAAATACGACAGTCCCTTTCTAGCGACCAAGTACGACCCCCCCCCGTTTGCGACCAGATTTTTGTGAGGAAGGAAAATCATCAATTAAAACTAATAACTTTCAGATTGGTGATCGAGTAATTTCCATAAATGGTGAAGATCTCAAGGACAAATATCCGTCGGCAATCAACCGCATGCTACATGAAGCCGCTAGATTGGGTGAAGCTGAAGTGTGCATCGAAAGGAAAGATGGTAGGATAATCAATTATCGATTTTTGGGAACAACGCGAAATCGCGCCCATATCACAACGGCGCGAAATCGCGCCCATTAGCACCATTTTGGGGTACGTGCAAAATGAGGATCTGGCAAAATTCATGAAAATGGTTATATACTTTACTAATTAGTGGTTCTGCTTGATTCGAGATCGGCACGTAGTTCATTGTCTCGTACCAAATCGATCAATTCTATTTAATCATTTCCGCCGAGTCTTGAATCCTACGCTCCCTGCACTGGGTGGGAACGCAGTCTGGGAGAACTTCTCGGGGACGAAACAACCCAGGCACACCATCCGCTAAGGACTTTCCGAAATACCACTACTCTGCCAAAATTAATGCGCTTCCCCTAACAACTCTCAAGGAACCGTGCATGTATCCTGGAGGCAGTAGATGGAGGGGAATTCTGATACACTCTGGCAGTGCTGCGTTCCATTTTCCGAAATCCGTTCATACCTACTAAGAATTTTCTATCCAGGGTTTGTCGATACGTCTCACCACAGATGGCTAAATTTCTATCCCTGTAAATCGCTAAGTTTATGTGGAAGTGAAAATTGGCGCTAATAACCTTGGGGGGGGGGGTCACACCTAGAAGCGCTTATCAGCATACCAAGTTCTGTAATTTGTATGCATGTAAATACCAGACAGCCTTGTTAACGCCCTGTGAGCCTTGTTATGACCTGTCAACCACCCTGTAAACTCCTCTCAAACCCATCTAAATGGCTGGTCAAGGACTGAAAAAATGGCGAAATGGCGTTCCAATGAAGCTAGCACCACTACGCCAATCTTGAAATGAATTTCCAGGGTTTTTGCCAGGTATACAGAGCCCTACAGGGTGAGACACGTTTTGAAAAGGACTGAAGAAAAGACAGAGACGCACCTTGAAAAAGCTCAACAGCTGGCCTCCTGCCCCCCCTCCCCTCCCCCGTTCCGCCAAAGTACCTGCGCCTGAAGTTGAGCGGTAAATGGCGATCCGCTTTTTCTTTTATCCTCCCAAACGTTCGGCGTACTGTATTTGTTCAGGAATTTTCATAACCAGTGAGATAATAATTTCTTCTTGGAAGGACCACACACGCATTCTATCCGCGGGGTTTACAGAGAATTGTCTGAAATGACTGCTGAGGTTAAGGGCTCAATTACGGTCCTGTTGCACTTTTTCTAGTTTTTCCTGTGAAAAAGCCAGGAACAGTAGTGGCTGACATTGGCGCAATAAATAGAGACAGTATTTTATCGCTTATTTGTATATTTTAAAGCTTTCCAAATGACATAAAAAATACTACTGGTATCGCGCACTTCCGGTTATGGCATGAGGGTGGGCCATTTCTTTTCCTATCATTTTCTGTTAAATTTTCATGCATGCCCTATTTCAGCAGAACTTTACGTTTTCCAGGTCCTGAATGCTTCTTTCTTCTATTTTCCCTCTTTCCGTTTCAGCAAAAATCGCTCAAGTGAAATCGATCACTTCGGTGGAGAATTTCGACAAAGTTCGTTCAGTGTTCACTGAGAAGACGATCGATTCGTATGCAGAATTCAAGCGGAAACACAGCCGAGGCATGCTGCTTCTTTTCTGCTTTTCTTTTATTTTATGCTTCTATCTGATGAGTTTGAACAGCTTTCGTTTCTGAACCTTTCCTTACTCTGTTTTCACCTGTCCCTCCTGCTCTATAGCACCTCATTACAACTGTAGTATGACATACTACAGGCGCTGTTCGGCTTGGGAGGGGCATTTCGCACGTTCTCATGTTCCTTTTGCTAGTTCCTGTCAAATCACAAATCACTGAGACGTAGAGATTTGTGAAGGGTACATAAAACTCCTGCTATTGAACAGCTTCAGAAGAATGTACAGATGTCCACGGTAGACATGATTGAAGGAACCAGCAACCTGCCCCCACCGAGTCGAACTACGCCCATTTTGCAAAGATAGTAGCCGTCGGTATGTATGTACAAACACGTCTGAAAATCATCATGAATGTGAAAAGCGAGAGCATTCGTAAGAATTCACGAGTATAGGGAGGCGTTCTCTGGAAAAAAATGGAATGGGCCGTCCTGTGACTGCCATCACAGGACGCGGCCGCTGGTCGCGATCGCGTCTGTGATCGGCAGTCTTTCAAAGAAAGTTCATGTTTCCAGCAAACTCTGATCGTGGGAACTGGTCGGAAACTGTTTTGTTTTTATTTTTTTGTCCGAACTAGACGATTTCGCATGAAATTCATCGAGTTCATAGGAAGGAAAATCAAACCTCGAGTTTTTTGTTTTCCAGTATCGCCGAGCAGATCACCTATCCACCGCGTGAACTGTATAACTCTCTTGCCCAACGATCAACATTCTTCTTTGGAAAGTGATTTGTCTGGGAGAGGAAGCTCCGCCGTCAGTGTTATTTGTACTTTCTATAATCCAAGTGAAAACGACGCAAGAAGCAAAGGGCCTATATGACCCTTCCAGATGCGCGGTCATGTACTGGACTTCCAGCTGGAGCGCTTCCGGAAGCATCACTGTTCTACACGGCTTGAGGGGATCGCTTGATAATGTTGTGTGGGCAGTTGAGATTCAAAGACAAAACTAGGCTAGCTAGTTTGCTCGGCCAGAGATCGTTCTCACACTTCAAATAAGGATCTTTCTCTTTTTGGGCAGCAATGCAAAGCAGTCGTGAAGGCATTAATGCGCCACAAGCCCTGAGAACGAGGGTCCGGCAACGAAAGGGCAATCGAGCACAGGCGAGCGGGATCGCATTGCCAGCAGCACTTCCACTGTGGGCGTGTATCACCTATTGGAGGGTGGGCCGCTGTCCTGAATGCTTGTGTTAGTCGTATTTCAGCTGTTCAGTACTTTAAGATGATAAGGTTCCTGTTAAGTGAAAGTCTCAATTGGCGCTAAACGATGGTCCTTACGCTAGTCTTGTCGCTTGGCCTAAAGGATATGAAAAAGGGTGGCTCGCTGCGCATGCCCCCTCTGGCCGCCCCGTCTTCTCGCATGCGAACAGACTGTGGGACGACACAAAACCTTAAATGTATCGCCTAGCCATTCTGGAAAACGGCTGTTATGAGCAGAAATCATCTGGTGCCATTCAAGGGACTCTGCAAGTCTGGGTTTGCTTTGTGTGTGTCCCTCCCGTGTGGGTTCCGAGTTGTGTACGCTCTTGTAAATCTACTGTAGTTTTAAGAGGGGTAATATTGATTAATCACTGTTCTTTCTAGGCAACCAACGTTCGGCTGCTGTTTCACCAACCCGAAGCTACTTCAGAACGAATGCACGTTCCGAATATAGAATTTCGAACGGACCGTCCTCCGACTATAAGTAAGTAGAAGTGGCCGGCTAATCTGACAAAGATTTTTCGGCGGAATAGGATTAACTTGATAAGGAATGCCAATCTGAGCTACGTCAGCGCGGCGGAATCCAAGGAATTCAAGTGATAAGCTGATTAATGTAGATGAAATACGCCTTTATTAGATAACTTGTAGATAAGTTAAAATCGAATGTTCCACCTATAGTTAACTATTTAAACGTTGTGGTTACTTCACTAATACCGTACCTCACTCAGAGTGACGTCAATGCACGAAAAAAGTGGTCCAGGCAAATTGACAGATTTCGTGCCAGAAAGTGAGCGAACCACTGCGAAGACGACGGAAGAGGAGAAAAGAGGTGATTTACTTTAGATTCACCGTGAAGGTGCGAATAGAATTATCTGTCTGGGTTTAGAATTCTCCTATCGTCGCCCTTCTGAAGAAGAACCGCGTCTGATACGTAATTACGACCTGCCACCAGCTGCGCCAACAACCACTAGAGTTACACCCATTCCTGTGACAGTGAGTTCACAACGAATCGATTTTGAAGGACCGTTGATATCGTCACAATCGGTCGCGGCGGAGTCAAGAGGCGTGGAACGATCTCATTCGTGACGGTTTCTAACACTCGTTGTTTTCTTCCTGAATCGATCACTATTGGTAGAAAGGGCAGCCGAAGGCGGGCCCTCTTGCTCGTTCTGACACCGCCCCGACTGATTGCGGCGATATCGACTACAAGTTCGGAATTTTACCTAGAAATGAAATAAGGTTACTCTGTTCGAGATCACCCACTATTCCAAATTGAACTCTTCGGTCTGCTTCTCACTATTGAGCGTTGGGATGTTGATTCCACTTGGGCACTGTAACCTAGAACTGCAATTTTACTTCACCTAATTACTGTTTTAGAGTCCAAGGGGTGTGGGGGGAGGGTGAGCGAACGTCGTGCCGTTCTCTACTCGCTCACACAATCTGAGATTAAAGCTGTTTTAAGGAGGTGGTCGAAAAGGATGCCATTCGGGACAGAAAAAGGCGGGGCTTGATTTCACTGCCGATTGTCTCATTCTGACCTCTTCTAAACTTCAACCTTCCATATTTTGGAATTCATGTTTTATATTCAATTAGGCACTTAAGTACAGCATATCATCGAGGGAAAAGGAACCAAGGTAAACTTTCAGACCTCACCATTCACCGCTCCGCGTCGCACCGTTATCACCGCAGAAAGCGAATCAGTGAGTGCGGTCCCGAAACGATCGACACTCCCGCGTGATGTGAGTTTAGTCCTGTTACACCTTTTCTAGTCTTTTCTTGCCAACAACGTCTCTGTGTTCACCGCCGTTTTACACTATAGTTTTAAATTTGAAAAAAAATAGAAAATTGAAAAAGGTTTTCCGCATTTGTTCTATAGTACAAGCTTTGATCATGTTATTGATGTTACGTAAATACACGAAGGGTAGCCGTGTAATTGCGTACCAATGGTGATTACCGTAATCCTACGCCTGTTTTTATTCGCCACAGGGTGCTCTATATTGGTAATTACGTGCCTTAACATTAGTTCTTCGTCATACTGCTGTAAAGAAGCCATTTCGTGCTTCGACTTTGTACTGTCGGCACGGCTCTCCACATCACTTGTCGTAAAAACCGCGAAGGATATGAGATGATAAGGAAGAATTTGCTACCCATCAATCAAAAGGCATACGGTGTTGCAGCGTTTGCTTACCAGGTGGTTTTCACTGACTCGTCAACGGGATCCCTGATCGTCGTTATGGTGTATAAAGTTAAGCCAAACGGAATGAAATCTATGGCGTCTCGTGCGACATATGAAACTTTCAGATCTTGAGCGACCCGGTACTTTTGCGTTGTGCTTGAATATTAGGAAAAGCTTTCATCATGAGTTCCGTTCCATTTCGCCACATTCATACTGAAGAAGGGGCATCCGAAAGTTTCAACTATTTCTAAATATTGTATGCATCCCCGTATGCGAAAGAACTGGGCGGCGTCCCTCATCTTGTGAGCTACTACAGTCTTGAGATGTCTTCTATGGTCTCAGCCTTGTTATGTCTTGTTCCTAAGCGCAACGAAGCGGGCTATGAGTCGCGTCGAAGCTTCCTTCCCACACGACAGCGATCCCTTGAATTAGTAAAGAAAAGGATCACTAACAGAGCACCCAGTAAGATGCTGCTTTTTCTCGTCGTGTATACTTACCTGCCCTAGCACACAGTTCGGCACCAAGCTCACTGAGTCGAAAAAAAAAACATATGGAGCCGTCGCTGGTGGCGCATGCGTCACTCTGCGTTCACTTTGCGACAGCGTCCACCACGCGTTCTAGCGAGCCCAGCGGCCTACGACGAAAGTACTTAAACATCGTTCTATTGGTGAACGCCGCGTCTAACTACTCTACCATCGTCCACCACCTCCGGAGTAAAAGCAGTATGGGCGAGAGGAGGTAGTAGACACCGGTCTGGGCATTAGACGTCGCTGAAAATTGCGGCGTTGCTTCAGCCCGCACCTACTAACTGCACTACCGCAGTCTCCCAACGCCTAATACTAATCCTACCCTCCTACTTCTCCATAGCCTCCACTCCAGACGCTGGTGAGCGCTGGAGTTTGCTAGGAACGATAGATGCTAGTGGTCGCTTTCTGACGTGTCATTATAGTATGAACGCCTTCAGCCATTAGATGCTGCCGACTATAAAGATGTAGATGCTTCGTCGTTCAGGAAGTCCCCAAGCTAAACTATTTTCAGACGAATCGAAAACGAATCGTGGCCTCAATTTCGGCAGTAAGATGTAAATAGTGCCAAGAACTGCACAGTGACAAACAGGATTAATTACGCATTGATCTATTTCCACAATTCTGCAAGTCTTCAAAATGATACGTATTCAGTCGTTTCCAACTCTGCAATTCTAACATCCCTTTAGTTCGTCAATGGTTCACTGATAAGTGACGGGGGAGCCGTGCCGACAGTAGTACAAAGAGTATAAAATGTTCTCTTCGAAGGGATTATGACAAAGAACCCCCGTTAAGACACTTAATGACCAACATGCAGTACCTTGCGCTAGGCGAATAAAACAGTCGTGGGATTACGGTAATCGCCAGTGGTGTGCGATTACACGGCTACCCTTCGTGTATTTACGTAAACATCCATTTGTTCGCCACAACTTTGATCATGTTATGGTGGCTGAATATGCAAGAAGGCCCACACGAAATCGTTCAGACATCTACGCCTGTGACCTGAGTCACGTCCGGATGTTGTACGGCTAGGGGGGGGGGTCTGTATTGCACTTTTCACTCCGTCTTCTTTTGCTGGTCGGGTTAATTAACAGCTAAAAATAAGAGAGCGCACTTTGGTCAGGCCTGTGAACCCTTGAAGCTGCGGGTGGATGTAAGTGAGCCACTTTGGTTACAGGAGTTTACAGTGCCTCACAAGAAGGCATGTTCAAGCTTCGCTCAGCATCATTTTGCGCCCAAATGCCCCACCAAGCCAAGTACGCCCACGCCCCCAATGTATGGCAGCGGAGTGCGCACCGGCTGTTGAATAGAAACTTATGAACAGGATTGTATAGAAAGAATATTTTACCGGGGTAGTTCTCCTTTCAGAGGTTCGTTCCAAGACGGTGGTACGACGCATCGAAAAGTGATTGATCAGCTCCTTGCTTGATACCGCACTGCCTCAAGATGTGGCCAGATCCATCTCACCAAGAATTTCGCCCAAATAGATAGCCTTTGAAACATTATGAGTGCACCTGTTCTATACCGACGACGAATTCCTAAAGAACGACACAACCATTGGCACATTGTGCTCGTCGACGATGGTATTCTTCAGCTGACTCATTCCCTTCGGCAATTGTTGTCTCTTAGAAGAGGGCCTGATGAGTGGACGAAAACGACAACGGCCGATGCCGTTGCTGTTGTACGTACTCGACCATCTGAAGCTTTCAGTCTACGTCGCCGCCTTTACTGTTCAGCATGGTTTTATGTTGGCCAGCAAGACGAGTGGTGGTAATGCAGTTTGACTTTATCAAGCTTTGAAAGTTAATTACGAGCCAAGGACTTTGGCGCATATTTACTTTATTGGCTCCTAGTTATGTACCTGGAAAGTGAAGCCGCTCAAAGGAAGCTTTTTCCGAGATTTACTATAGATGGCTGATGCTTAAATTCTTGATG